AACCTCCAATGCTGCCGGAGGACAAGCTGGATAACAACTGCAGGGAGTCATGTGTTACTCCCCGCAGTCATGAGTACTTGTGTGGAATCCAGATTCCATGGGACACAGTGTGATTCTTTAGCAAGAAGTGAACCCCACCCACTGCCTGAATGTTTGTACGTCAACTGCAGCAGACACAACTTTCCCATTTCCCAGAAATGAAGCCAGAATGGGACCCAGAAAAAACTGCAGGGCAGAATTTGAACCTCATCCTGAAACGTCCAGTCCTTGCTTCCCACCTGGTGGAACTGTCTCTGTTTCCTGCTTCTCCATCCTTCACAATGAAGAGAAGATAACTTGAAAGCTCTAGAAAAATAAATCTCCATCCCTCCCCCGATTCCAAGCTTGCTGAGAGGAAGAGATGAGAATTCTCATGTGCAGCTCAAGCACAAGTGTAGAAAGTTCACTGAAGGTTTTTATAATGATTTAGCTTTGGGCCAATCTCCTGCTCTCCCTGTGCCCAAGTTTCCCCATGTACTTCAAGGAGATTAGACTAAGTTATTTCCAAAAACCTTCCTTCCAAGACCCACCCTGTCCCTGACCTGTTGCTCACCAAAGCTCCTCTTTCCCCTCAGTCTTCTGAGCTACACCCTAAACTAATGGAAGGTCCTTAGGAGACTGAGGCCTTCGTTATCACCCACAAGGCATGAACAAAGCTCCTCCTGGCCCAAACACGGTACCTAACACCTGATAGACCCTCAGTAAATATTTGTCAAATGAATGTACGAATGAATGAACAAAGGAAAGGGATGTGTAATTTGTACCACACCATGCTGTCTCTCTAAGATATTAAAATCATACTAATCTACTGTTATTACTACAAGATTGCACTCCAGACCTCTGGGGATTGTTAGGACCTCCACCCCCACCCCTGCTGGTGACTTCCCGGTAGGTGTCACTGCACGCACTTGGAGAGAGGAAGAAAGACAGTGCCGTGGGGACCAGCGCAGGTGCTGCAGGCACTCTGTCCTAGAGGCTAACACTGAGAGACACAGTAGCACAGGAAGGGGTAGGTTTAGGCAGAACTTTCTGTTCAGGCTTCACGGTGAGTCTCGTGGAAGGCTAAGCCCAGGACAGCAGTGAAACCCACTCCCCAAGTATCACCTCCACTCTTGGAGTGCCCCCTCTAATGGTTGGAGGGAACAATGTCAACCAGGGCCATGTTGAAGGTCCAGTCTGAGGCCCTGTGAAATGGCCTTGAGGGACTTATTTGGGACACCAGGCACTTATAAGGGATACCAGGCTTCTACCACAGTCTCAGAAATCTCCTTCCCAAGATGGAAGAGACTAACCCTGGAGAAGTGTGGGCAATACCTCCAAGTCAAGAAGGGAGCTGGGAGGCAGGGGGAGCCTGGGGCAGAGAACATGGGAGTCTAATGTTCTCAGAGGCGTGCGGGCCTCCTATGGTTAAGAGAAAGTGAGCCTACGAAACACCATGTCACAGGGGCCAGTGCCACTTCTGCCTGCATACCTTCCTCCCGAGAAGGATCAAAACCACTGAAGCTGTGGCTTCGTGTTGTCCTGGGTCTCAGCTGCTGCCCTTCAGAACCTTACAATAAGCTCAGTCCCTATTCTACACCAATACCCCTGAAACAGATTAGTCACCACCTTCCGCTGTTTACAAGGACTGTCACATTCAATGTTCATGGCCCTTCTGTGGAGCAGGTGTTGTTTCTAACGAGAAGGGGAAATAGGCTCAGAAAGAATGGGTACCTTGCCCAAAGTCTCAGCAAATTTTCACACACATCCTTGCCCGCCTTGTCTTACCTTATCCTATTCTCTTGAGCCTTGTCTTCTTCACACTGAAAGAAGCCTCACCTCAGTTCCTCTTACCACCAGGCCTTCTCCTCAGTGGGCTGGGGTGGAAGATCTTGGGTGGGAGCTCCTGCCTGCTAGGCAGGGCCAGGCAAAAGCTGAAGCAGAAGCTCTTTCTGGATGAGCGTGAGGAAAGCAGACTATGGTAGCTATAGTAGATGCCTGGGGAGGTGAGCTGGGATTCAGCAGCTTATTCTGGGAGGAGTGAAGGTATGGGGAACCTTTCCTGGCATGGGAGAGATTGAGGAGTCCCCAGAGAGAGGCCACTCGGGATCCATGGAGTCACTTGATACAGGCCCAGAGGAGAAGAGCTGGAAGCTGGTTCTGATAAGTTAGCTGGTATGGCTAGAAGATGCTTTTGTGGTTCAGTGCAGAAACTGAGGTCCAGAAAGGGGCAGAGACTTGCCCAGAGACATGCCAGAGCCAGGGAAGGAGTTCGGCTTTCCTGGCCTTGGATACCACAGTGCTGCTACTTGAAACTCCCACAGGGAAGGCAAGTGCCTGGGCTGTACAGTGAAGTGGGGTACTTACTCTCCTAGGTCCTCACTGACTCCCGCCCAGCTACAGAGACGAGCCTTGTTTGCGCCCTCTGAGCCATGTATCACACCCAGGGAACAGTCTGTCCTGTGTAGGCATGCAGTGCAGTAGGGTTATAGTGTGCCATCAGAGAGGGCAGGACTAACCCAAGGTCACACAGTAAATACATGGTAAAGGGAGCATTTGTTCTCCAAGGTCTGGGTCTTCAGCCCCAGCAGGGTCTCTTAGAAGAACACAAACTCTCTCACCCAGACTGAGAGCAACAGGAAGGTGTTTGAGGGGTCTGGGCTTTCTCTGGATCCCCTACCTTCTGCCTGCCTCCCACCCCACAGACACTGGGGATGTGCAGATGAGCTGAGAACTTCTGAAATTCCTTCTAAATGGATTACCCATATCTCCCACAATACTCTTCTGTGTTTTCACTCCACTATACAAATTCCTACCCATCCTATAAAACCCAGCTCAGAGGCACAGAAAATGACCACGTACAAACCCACAGAGGAAGTCATGTTAAATTCCAAAGGCTCCCAGATCATGAACTCTAACCACAATGCAATATAAGAGAAAGTCAACAAGAAAAACATAAACCTCTCATAGGCTGAGAAACTGAAAACACACTTCTAAATCATCCAAGAGTCAGAGAGGAAATTACAATGAAATTTGTGAAAAATTTAGAAGTGAATGATGATAAGGAAAGCGCACACAGTTTCTAAGTCATTTCCCCTGTGAAGCCGGCCCTGACCTCACTGCTGCTTATTCAGATCTCTCCACCCTCCTCCCGGCCCCGGGCCCAAGAGGCTGACCTCTGTGAGCTACAGCAACAGGTTCTTTGTCCTTGGCTTCTGGCTGGATTCAGCTAATGGGGACCCCTAGCCAAAGATGGGAGGAAGGCGGGGAAAAGCAGTCCTCCATATGACTGATGCAGACTGGGTACAGCCCTCTACCTTAGGCCACCACACCTGTAAGGAGTTCCTTCTGCAGCTCCCACTCCCACCTTCACTTACTGTGTGCCTTCAGCCTAGACTGCAAGCTACGCACTGCCCTTGCTAGCCTTTTGATGATACATTATCCTCATGGTTTCCCTGCACCTTGTTTATGCCTGTAAAAAGTGCCTTCATCAAACCCTCATCAAAATACCCAACTGTGGTATTTCATGAATTTCCTGCAGATAGCCCCGTTATTAGAAAGCGCTCGGCCATCAGTGCATAACCATGTTCTCCCTTCCAGATGACTGGGTTCTGACCCTGTGGGGTGTGTGTGTGTGTGTGTGTGTGTGAGAGAGAGAGAGAGATGCTGATCCATCAGCACATGATAAACTTCATCATCTAATCCCCCGATACTGATTGGAATAGTAAATTAAGCAAAGGAGTATACCTGACCTCCCTTCATATGCAAATGTTTCTTTATAGGGGATTCAAAGCGAACTAAGACTCAGATATAAAATGCAGAGAATTTAGACTGGAGCAAAATTAAGTGCTGGGCCAAAGAATGGATCCTCAGCTCTACAAGCTAGAATTCTTAAGGGTCTACGTGTTCTCACGCCATCAGACAAGCAGATCCCGTTCCCAGGGGAGCCCATCAGGGCATCTGTGCCATGGCAAGTGCCCACCTGCAGCTTCCAGTGCTCTCCTACCCACACCTGTTCGCCTCCCAGCCCTCTCAAAGGGACTTCTGCAGCCCAGCTGTCTGCCTTGGCCCTGCAGCCTACACCGTGATTCTTCCCTCCCAGCCCAGACAGAGCTAGGCAACTTGTTGCTGGGCCTGGGCCACAGCTTGCACTGCATACCGGTGCGGGCTATCTGTCCCCGGGGAAGGACTCAGATAGAAAAGCAGGCAGAGCCAAACAAGTCTGGAAGGGTTTGGATTTGGTTCAAAGAAAAGGTTTCCAAGAGGTGAACAGCTGAGATAACGGTCTAGATGGCTGAAGTGGGGTGACTCTGGGTGAGGAGTGAGGACAACCGATCTAGCCAGAGCAAGGCCCTCCACCGCATGGACGGGTGAAGTCTAGGATTTGAGCACTGCTAGGGGGTGGGGCAGTCCTCTCGGGGTGAGGGACTCTGCTCGTGATTCTCAAGCACTCATTCTCCCATTTATTCGAGTGGGTTCTAGCTGAGAAGACGGGCACGGACAGGCATGTACAATTCGGTACTGAGTTCTGAGACCAGGGAGGCGCGGATGATTCCAGGAGGGCCAGGGCACCACTGTCTGCCTAGCGGCCTTCTGGTTTCTCCTCCAGACAAGCTGGGCTGGTCCCTGTTTCACACTGCAGAGTCTGGGCCTGCCTCTTTGATTAAGCTCCAAGGAGACACCCGGAGGGCCGGCTGCTCCGTCAGTCCTGCACCCCACGGGAAGCAGGGAGCCCGATATGGACTTTCCGGAAAGGCGGGGTGTGGTGTCTGTGCAGCGGGGTGGGGGAGTCCCTTTCCCCGCCCTCCCGGCTCCGCGGCCTCGGCGTGGCGGGGCCCGGGGCGGAGCTGCCGTCCCCGGCGGGCAGGAGGGCGGC